CGTTTACACAAAAAGATCGGATTTTTTTCAAAAAATCGGAACTGAGCATTAAGACCTGCAGTGTGAACGTAGCACATCTCACATTACAGAGGTTAATGTTAAAAATGTATACCTCCAAATATTTTTCTTACTCACTTAGAGCTGACTTCTTTAAGATTTATTTCTGGTGTTATCTACCTGCAGCAGTATATTTTCCTTTTTTCCCCCCGCATTTAGTTTTAAGTCTTTAGCTAAGTGGAAWGAACACAGTAAGTCTGCAGGAAAAGGAAACACTTGCAGTGTAACTGTTTGATGCGTTTTGTAGCAGCACATGGAGGAAGCTGGCTATGAGTTCCAGAAGAAAAGACAGATGATTCTAGAGAAAGCCCACTTACAGGCCCAGCTTGCATTCCAGCAGCATGAATGGGACATGTCACTCAAGGTAAAGGTAGCAGCAGACCTGGGGGTAAAGGCGCCCCGTCATCACCAGTCTGTCTGCTATTTTAATATGAGGCTGAGCTTTTCATTTTTCATCTGGCAGCTTTTGTTACTAATGTGAAACAGATGGAACATTTCTCTGTGTTTCTGCACATGGTTCAGTGGTTCACCTGTCTTCAGTTGGGTAGAGTTGGAGATAATGAAGCTATTGTCAGTGAACAGTGGAGGAACTATCTAGAGAACTTCTCCAAATCTCCTAGTTGGTGGCTCAGCTGCAGCGACATGTTGATCAGATAAATACCACTGCATTCATAAACCATTTTTTGTCCAAAGTCTTAAGGTCTACCWCTGTGTTTACAGGTTAATGAAACTGATGAAAACAGTGGATGTGGTGGAAAACTTCTTTCTCTGAACCATCAGTTTACTGACCTGTTAAACACAGGACTGTGTGTTTGTGTGTGTTCATGTTTTTTTTTTTTTTACCTGGTGGGGGCAATTTTTGACCACTTAGTTCCCCGGTACATACAGCCTTTTGAGGACCCACTGTTTCTAATGGGGACAAAAGCCTGATCCCCATCAGGGAAAATACCGAGGGTGGGTCAGAGGTTAGGACTAAGGTGTGATGGGTGGGTCAGAGGTTAGGACTAAGGTGTGATTTGAGTTTAGGTTAGGCTTAGGGTAAGGAGTTGAGGTTAGGCTATAGACATGACCCATAAAGGAGTGGAAGTCAATGCAAAGTTTCCATGAGGATAGAAGAACGCATGTGTGTGTGCGTGCGTGCGTGTGTGTGTGTGTGTACTTGTTTCTGCAACAGAATGAGGACCAACAGAATGTTTTAACCAACAAAGTGAGGTCATTTTGGGGAAGTGAGAATGTTTTTCCAATCCTCCACTAGTTAGGTTTAGCAGTATATTGGGAATTAAATTTTGGTTCAGGTTAGGGTTAGGAATAGACTAGTAATGGTTAGGGTTAAAGAAAATGTCTGGTTTATGTATACAGTTAGGTCCATATATATTTGGACACTGACACAAATTTTGTATTTTTACCTGTTTACTGAAACATATTCAAGTTATAGTTATATAATGTACATGGACATTCAGCTTTCATTTGAGGGTATCCACATTTAAACTGGATAAAGGGTTTAGGAGTTTCAGCTCCTTAACATGTGCCACCCTGTTTTTAAAGGGACCAAAAGTAATTGGACAATTGACTCCAAGGCTATTTCATGGGCAGGTGTGGGCAATCCCTTCATTATGTCATTCTCAATTAAGCWGATAAAAGGMCCGGAGTTGATTTGAGGTGTGATGCTTGCATTTGGAAGGTTTTGCTGTGAAGTAAACATCAAAGGAGCTCTCCATGCAGGTGAAACAAGCCTTCCTTAAGCTGCAAAAACAGAAAAAACCCAACCGAGAAATTGCTAAAATATTAGGAGTGGCAAAATCTACAGTTTGATACATCCTTAGAAAGAAAGAAAGCAATGGTGAACTCATCAATGCAAAAAGACCCGGGCGCTCACAGAAGACAACAGTGGTGGATGATATCAGAATAATYTCCATGGTGAAGAGAAACCCCTTCAYGACAGCCAACCAAGYGAACAACWCTCTCCAGGAGTTAGAAGTATCARTATCCAAAWCTACCATAAAGAGAAGACTGTATGAAAGTAAGTACAGAGGGTTCACTGCACCCTGAAAGCCGCTCATAAGCATCAAGAATAAAAAGRCTAGACTGGACTTTGCTAAAAAAAAACCTTTTAAAAAGGCCAGCACAGTTCTGGAAGAACATTCTTTGGACAGATGAAACCAAGATCAACCTCTACCAGAATGATGGAAAGAGAAAAGTATGGTGAAGGCGTGGTACAGCTCACGATCCAAAGCACCACATCATCTGTAGTGTGTATCATCTGGCAGTGTGATGGCTTGGGCATGCATTTGTGACCCAGTGGCACTGGGTCACTAGTGTTTATTGATGATGTGATACAGGACAGAAGCAGCTGGATGAATTCCGAGGTATTCAGAGCCAAACTGTGTGCWCAGATCCAGCTAAATGCAGCCAAACTAATTGGTTGTTGTTTCATATAACAGATGTACAATGACCCAAAATATAAAGCCAAAGCAACCCAGGAGTTTATTAAAGCAAAGAAGWGGAATATTCTTGAATGGCCAAGTCAGACACCTGATCTCAACAAAATTGAGCAGCATTTCACTTGTTGAAGACTAAACTTCAGACAGAAAGGCACACAAACAAACAGCAACTGAAAATAGCTGCAATGAAGGCCTGAGAAAACACAGCGTCTGGTGATGTCMATGAGTTCGACTTCAGGCAGTCATTGCCAACAAAGTGTTTTCAACCAACCACTAGAAATGAACATTTTATTTACAATTATTTAATCTGTCCAATTACTTTTGAGCATCTGAAATGAAGGGATTGTGTTTAAAAGWTGCTTTAGTTCCTCACATTTTTATGCAATTATTTTGTTCAACCYGCTGAATTAAAGTTWAAATCTGAGCTTCAGCTGCATCTGAATTTTGTTTAAAATTCATTGTGGTAATGTCTAGAATCAAAATTAGRAMAATSTTGTCTCTGTCCAAATATATATGGACCTAACTGTAAATGCTGTTACAAAAATGAATGGAAATCGATACAATGTCCTCGGTTTGTTGCAAGTACAACAAAGTGTGTTTGTGTGTTCTGGGCTATTGATGTCTATCTGTTCATTCTAACCATAATCCAGCATCAGCTCAGTGAATAGATCAAATGAACTTACGGCTTTTGTGTTGTCACAGAGAGATGACAGATCTCCAACCAGCGGACCTCCATCTTTCTCCAGCTCACCCTTTGGACTGAAACCACGGTCAGGTGAGTTATAAAATCGTTATAYCAGGCTCTTGAAGTATTAGGTCTGGGCAAAAGAGGACTATCTATGTCAGGCTGCTGGTGTTCATCTCATTTGGACACATTGGTTTGATAACTTCAGGATTAATGTAAATGAGACCCAAACAAGCAGGTTTATGGTCACTGCTTGTCTGCTTTATTAGGAAAATTTATAATAAACTTCAGCATTGATCTTTTTTATATACAGTACTTTTTTTGCTAGCAGTTACCGGTGTGTTGCTAACAACTAATCAGGCTAACATGAAGCTAACAGCATGTCAGGGTGATATTACTGAAATGCCACTAATCTGGATTTTTTTTGTGCTCTTTATGTTTTGTCTTGGCATCTTGTTTGATTCCTCCTGTTCATGTTTTCCTTTTTTCTGATTTTCCTGCATGACTTTGATGTTAAATTCACAAACTYACTGAATTTGACCCTCCTGGACTATTTGAATCAATACATGTGGCATTGATTCTGACCTACTTTTTTCAAACGTTCTCCTGGTGATTTTGGTGGGGTTTTTGTGGGGTGTGTTTGTGGAATGAATTTGTATTTGGCACGACTTCCACCTTTTCCTGCAMCACACACGGCTCCACCATCACTTCCTATAATCATATCCTGTTGTAGCCCCACCCTCACTGCCGTGCTCACCCCCTACTTCCTGTCTAGACCCCTCCCTCCTCTCACAGGCCTCTTCCCTACATAAAGTCACACATCGTAGCCATGGCGACGGAGGCACAGGTGAGCCACCTTTTCTGTTACYGGTCAGTCGACCAACACCTGGACGGTTGAGTCTTTAACACTTCACCAGGGTTAATGTCAAGACTTTTACTGAGAAATAAAGCTGAAACTGTGAGTTTTATTGTTTTGGTCTTAAAATGGACAAACATCTTTCAATCTGGATCATTGTAAACTCATTTCCTATCTCTCCTTTCTTTGTTCTTTTTGTTCACTCATCTATGGAGGACCTAAACTGTCATAGTTGGAAATAAATGTAGAAATATTTAAATGGCTTGAAAAA